TTCGAAGGGCAATCAGAAGATCAGACTCATATTTCAAGATCTGATCCGGTGATGGCGAAGGCGTCGGAGGAGAGCTGCAATGACCTCAGAGGCATGTATAACCTCAGGGATAGGTACGACAAACGTTGGTTGGCGATGCTGATATGTTTGAAGTGGACAAAAATTGGGGTGGGGTCAACTGTAGGGGTATTTAGTGTGTCAGGTTCCCTGGAATGATGGGGAATAATGACAAATGGGACTTTTGGAAGGTGTGTGAGAGTACTTTCTTGAAGGGGCTTCAGAGTTACTTCGAAATATGGAACAAACTTAAAGAAGGTAACATTGGCTGATACGAGGTATCATTCTAGAGTATGCGAATAGCAACGATAAACCTTTTGGCAATAAAGACACACTCGAGTGATCAAGATGATAATTTATTAAGTCCAGGGGAAAGATTGTGTACAAAACATGTTGACCCAAAGACTCCAGGAGGAATTGGGTGAATGGGAGAGTTTGAAAACATGATTGAATGAGGGATTTTATATATTAAGGACAAATGATAGCATTCAATTTATAAGATAACATGTTGTGAGCACAACATCTCCCCAGAATCGAAGAGGAACATTACCATGGAGAAGCAGGACCCAAGTGGTTTCTACGAGATGCTGATTTCTGCGTTCTGCTACCCCGTTTTGTTGAGGTATATGAGGGCAAGATGTTTGGTGGAGAATACCATTGGATGACATAAAATTCTGAAATTGTTGGGATAAATATTCACGTGCATTATCACTTCTTAGGATACGAATAGACAAACCAAAATGGGTTCTTATTTCCCGATAAAATTGTTCAAAAATAGAAAAAAATTCATATATGTTCTTCATTAAAAATAGCCACGTGCAACGTGAAAAATCATCAATAAAGGTTACAAAATATCTAGACTCAAAAGTAGACGCAGTACGCGAGGGACTCAAACATCGAAGTGAACTTATAAAGCAAAAGGGGACACATCTTGTTTATTGACTCGATCGGGAAAGTGGTTATAAGTATGTTTCCCTAACTGATATGACTCACATTGTAAAATGGATAATTTAGATAAACTAGGAACCAACTTTTGTAACTTGGAAAGACCTGAATGACCTAACTGTGCATGTACAGTGAGTGGTGAATTTATGGTGGAGCATGTGGTAAATGACGTAGAGAAGTAATAGAGGCCTTGAGACTCACATTCGACGCCAAACGTTTGTCCCGAAGTCCGATCTTGCAAGGTAACATTACTGGTAGTAAAGGTGATAGAACAATTAAGGGACCAAGTGAAATGACTGACTGACAATAAATTAAATGGGCAATTAGGTACATATTAGACAGAAGTAACAGAGAGAGATGATAGAATTTGAACAATGCCAATCCCTTGAGATCGAGTTTGAGAACTATTTGCAGCAATTATATTAGTTAAGGAACCAAATGTAGAGAGATAAGAGAAAATATATTTATAATCGATAATATGATCAAACGCACCAGAATCGAGGACATAAGGACCAAGATGATATGATTGCAAGAAGAAAACAGATGAATTGCCAATGTGTGGAACCGAAGCCATGCAGAGTTCTGATTAGTCTGACACCACTTGAAAAAATCTTTGTAGCTTGGCGTAGAGTTCTAAATAGAAGGTGAAGCCCGCATAATGTCTAGGTGATCGATTTTAGCTACATTTACCTGGCGTAGAAGTCTGCCATGCAACTTCTAGCAATAGTCAATAGTATGCTTAAATCGGTTACAATGGTCACAGTTGGGACAAGATTTTAAGTTGGATGACCCTCCTCAAAATTGATTTTGATTATTGCTAAGAGATGCAAGGGCAACAATGTCACCTGGTGTCGGAGCAACAATATATGGAGGGAAAATCGGGCCAAAAGCATGTGGTGTAGCCATGTGCAACAGTTGTTCACTAACTACGTCATAGTTAGAAACAACGGTACTTGATAAAATCTGGTAACGAACGGACACAAGCTCTAATGGTAGTCCGATAAATCCATGATCATGAAAAATTTACTCTGTTGTTTTGCATGAGCAGTTGCATCTTTTTCGTAAGGCATGAAGGTGGTGTAATTTGCTTTCAAGGCATCAAACTTGCTTATATAAACTTGCATTTCCATATTCTCCACCTTTAGAGTCTTGATTTTGCGGATGACACTATATAGACAATGAACATCATTGGAGAAGACTTTCTTGGCCTTTTCCTAAACCTCATACCAAGTGGATAAGGCTTAGTATTGTGCTTGTATACTAGATGCTAAGGAAAACCATAACTGATTGCATAGAGATACATTAGTTTTTCTTCCATTTAGCAAGTTTGACGGTGGGAACATCATCTACTTTGTGGTTAAGTGATCTTCATATCTCTGAACGTGAAACCACATCTCGACAGCACAAGCCCATATGTTGTAGTTGGATGAGCCAATTAGCTTTTCACATGGAATAAGCGGAACTTTGGTAAACGAATCACTGAAATCAGAATCAGTGTCTCCCATGGCTTGGACAACAACAAAAAAAACAGAGTGAAATCGAGGCTGTTTGCATTGGAGCACCGTTTTCCATGAGTCGGAAAGTAAAACGGAGACCGCATGTGGAACGAGTATGGAGAGGCGAGTAGACCTGAAAAAAACAACCGAAATCGACTTCCGAACAAGTTGGCACGCGTTGGGGCAGCGGCGGGAAAAAGGACGACTGTTAGATCAGAGGGTAGTGAGTCAGATGATGGGATCAATTTTCTGAAACGTCGTCGAAAGTTTTGTAGGAATAGTAACGGCGGCAGGGTGGTTACCGAAGAATTTTGAAAAGTGAAAGGCAAACCAGAATGATAGCACGGTTTGCAAAAAATAAATCTTATCGAAAGACAGTGGATCAACTGAATAAAGCATATCGAAGAAAGAATTACTTCTTAGCAGACTCGAGATACCATGTTGAAATAAGAGAGACTAAAATATATTTAGATTAAACCATGAGTTTTGAAAAACACTAAGACATTATTATATATAAAGAGATTACAACTAATTACATGATACAGTCAATATGAGACTATTCTAAATACAAATATTTTTAACGATGTATATTTAGAAATATCACCAATAAAAATTGAAATAGAAATGAAAATTAAAATTGAAATGGAAATGTAAATTAAAAGCTAACAATTATTTTAAGGTAAATTTATTTTGGAAAGTAATATGAAAAAGATGAAAGTTTTAGTCTCATAAATCTCTTGTACGCCAAGTCAAGTATGCATTCCATTATGAAGTTGATCTTCACCTTTTATAGTGTTCATTAATAGTAAATATTTATGACCGTTGGAGACAGTTACAATACTTAATTTGGTATCCGTTTTGGCCATGTGCTGTTGTCTACTTCACCTTTTTCAAAAAGTTGTCTGAAGTGTTTGACTATGTTGACTAAGAAACTTCTGAATTGTGTATTGTTGTCTATAATTTTAGATGCTAGTAGTATCTATGAAATCAAAAAAAAAAAAAAAAAATTATGGATGATTTTCTGAGCACTAGGAAAACACTTATTGTTAATTAACATTGATGACTATTCTGTCAAGATCTTGAGCATGCTCTTGATTATGCTGCCATGCTTCTATCCCTTTAGGTTTAAGCTGTTAAGTTTCTGCAAAGCTTTCAAACAAGCTTTACATGTGAACATGTCAGACTTCTAAGCATACTTCTACATTCATTATCAATTAGGCAAACATGATTTTTTTTTACATGTTTACAATATGAGTTGTTGTTTGCTATGGACTTATCTTTCATCAAGAATTTGAAAGGAAGAAAATAATCTTGGAAGTTAGAAGTCTTGGTCAAACATTTTGAGTGCACATTCAAGTTCTGACATGCTCTCACCAATTTTGAGCTCCTAGATTTAAAAGCTATTTATGACTTAAATGAGAGCGGTTTCCTTTGTAATTGACACTGCTGTTCATTCTTTACTTAAGTGTACCATTTTGGTAAAAAATACTATTCTAGTCGCTATTATATATCTGATCTATATAGAAATCAAATACATCGGTTATTAACTCACCGGTCATCCAAGCATATACTTTGTGATAAAGTCGCTGACAGTTTTTTCACCTTGTCTTAAATATTCCTTTCAACAACAATAAGGCAAACACGAAAAAAGTTTAACATATATACAGATTTTACACAATCAAATAATATGCAACTGATTGAAAAAAATAAACTGAATGAAACTTTTACAGGAATTGAAATTTACAATCACAAATAGAGGTTAACTAGCTAAACCAAGTTTTAAATTATTAAACATATTTTTCATCAATACAAATTTATCAGTTTTTGCTTATGATTATTGTTTGTTTTCCCTTAAAACGTAAAAAAATTTGTTTTTAATACTTATTTTTTGAACTTTAGTTCTAATATTATTCATGTGGCTGCTAAGATACAGAGTAATTCCAACAAGAACCAATGGTTTAGGAGAAAGTTCATAATTTCCCATGTTTCAAGAGTAAAACAAATTCAAAACTGTTATTAAGTTTCAGTTCAACTGGCAGATGCAGATGTTGTTAGGATAGACAATAACACTCAGATTCGAACCCAGGTCGTCCCAGTTGTGTGTGAATTTCTATTAAATATTACCACTTCGACTACCGATAAAAAATCAAAACTAAAAGCAAATGCAACAAGGGCAAGGGCAATGATTAGTAATTGCACTCACCACACACACGACAGGACCCCCAAAATTGGTAACAAAGCCACAATGTTTTCTGTTCAAAATTACACTAAAGCATATATATAGTGCTGGGTAAACTTAAACTGAAAGTCTGGCTTACAAAATGTACATACAGGAAAACACTTTTGAAGAGGGCATGTCGGCGATTCATATCATAGCATTTCCCTGAAGAAAAATAGCATTCCTGATTGTTGGAAACTCGAGTGTTGAAATATATGTTGCAAATAAGAACGAACTATAGGAGTGCGTGGAATTTTGCTAGAAACTCATTTGCAATAAAGCCGTCAAAAGGGAGCTGAGCTAGTTCTGCGAAGCTGATGCTTAGGGTCTGGTGGTGGCATACTTGGCAATACTCTCTCCATCTCCTGCATGGAAGATTCACAAAAAAGAGAGTTAATACGTGAAGTGATAAACCATCTAGAATGATCGATTAAATTGTTATTTAAAACATTATTCGTGTGTTGTTTATGCTTCAACAATGTTATAATTCAGCACTGCGAAGATGGTCAAGTATAGTACAGCAGTTATAAAGTCGAAAACTCAAATAACCAGTTAATCATATACTATATTGTTGCTTCAAGTTTATGATGCTGAAGCTTGTGATAAGTAAATTATACTTTCAACTGTAGTAGAATATTATAAAATAGAAATCACTGTTAAACCAAAGCCTTTTACATCAAACCAGTCAAATGGAGGAAAATGTCCAAAAATCAGCAAGTTCTATAGTGCTAATGCGAGAAATTGGGCAAAGAGATTAAGTACCAATTTTCAAATATAGAAAGGAAAACAGAGAGTATGATAAGACTACAAGCAGCTCAACAGTCTAAAGTTATGGTTTTCTGAAGCACATCAATAGTATATTAAATAACCAGAGAGACAGATCAAATGAAAGCTATACAAGATAGTCATAAAAATCTGGCACTCAGAAAGTGTTTGATCAAAATTGTATATCTCCACAAAAGCTAAATGGTTAGTACATATGTATTTGCAATTTCTAATCACTAGAACATGTCATGAATTTTCATATAAGGATAAGTTTCTATTCAAGCCAAACCTTCTATATAATTTAACAAAATTGACTTAAAACTCAACGACTATGTAGATACTCCAGACAAAGCTTACTTAATAAGCAAAATAGAGATGCATATAAAGGCAAAACACTTCAAGTAAGAAATTATGGTTTTGAAAGTTTAACTAGTGAAAGCTTAACTACCTCAAACATTTTATTTCACAAGCAAGCACCGGCCAGTTGAAATCATATTTAACAAACATAATATCACAGAAGACGAGAAGAATAAAGTAGAGATCAATGCAAACTGACAATGGAATTGAAACATACATGTAGTCTTTTAAGCCGTTCATTTTCTTCTTCTAAATGTGAAACTTTGATCTCCAGTTCTTGTGTGTAAGCCTGTCCATTGATTCCACAGACAAATATACATATCATTGCATCAAATAAGTAAAAAAAAATGAAGACTACAAATAACAAAAATCATACAAAAGTTATAACCTGTTTTCTAGCCCGCGACCGAGCTGCAGATTCCCTATTTTTAATCATCCTCTTCTGCCTCCTCTCCACAGTTTTCTCTACCACAACACCAGAGGCAACCCTTTTCCTACCTTGAGTTTGTGTATCCGATGAAGTAGCCATTAAAGAAGCCGGTGATATACTCACCATTGCTTCATTGTATCCTGCATCCAAAACCGGCTGTTGAACCACATGACTAGCCATATAACTTGCAAAACCAGGCATCATATTATTCTGATGATTTTGATGCTGATGCTGATGCTGTTGTTGTTGCACCGGAGGGATTTGGAACTGCATCCAATGACCATGTTGAGATGTATTGTGCTGTTGTTGAGAATCAATCCTTCCTGACATAGCATTATCCTCTGTCGGAAAAGATTCAGTAGCCACACCAGCTTTCATCAAGAAATCTTCCAAAGTCATCTCACCTAGTGTAGCTGTTCTCCTATCTTGACTAGAACTCTTCTTCTGTTGCATATCTCTCCAAACCTCATCAATGGTTTTCTTGCTAAGATCACCGGAAAGTGCTAGCGGATTCATCGATGACCCAGAAGCTAGTTGACCCTGTTGCATGTAAGCATCAGTAGTACCAGAATCCAATCCAGAAGCTTGAGCAGCTTCAGATGTCCACAAACTCTTGAGTAACTCATCTAGATTCATGCTTCCTAAGGGTTTCCCTAAATTTCCAAGCTGATTTTGCACCTCATCAAGTGTGAGATTGTACAAAGATCCTTCTCTAGCCAAAGGTCCTGCCTTTGGCGCTTGGATTGCTCCACCATGAGATCCCATTTTCTAAAACCACAGAATCAGCCTACAACTACAACCCTATATATTTAATTTCATTTCCCAAAAGTTAAATAAACCCCCAAAACCCCAGAACTCAATTACATCAAACCAAGCTGAAAACCCAGATGAAAGAAGAGTCTTTTCAGTAATCTCTACACTCAAAGGAACAAACTTCACACCAAATTTAAACAAAACAATCAAAACAAACCAGTTTCTCTTGAATATTGAGATGTGGTGTGAAAATCACTCTAACACACAATTTCACAAACACAAAGCAAGCATTGAAAAATGGGGTGAGTGAAATTTGACATATATGTCATCAAAATTCTATAACAACAACCTGAAACAAACAAACAAAAGCTTAAGACATAGATTGATGATCCTAAAAAACATGTATGGTGTTCAAAACATGAGAGATGAACATTCTCTGAGGTAACATTGCTTAAATTTACCCAAAAAAGAAGAGAAAAAAAATAGAATGATTGAGTTATCCCTTAAAAGGGAAAAGAAGAATTTAAGAGAAAAACAATAAATAAATAAAATAGGGAAACTGTTGAAAGAATAGACTGTTCTGACTTTCTAACTTAAAACATAAAAACAAAAACACAAAATCTGAAGGGTACTATACTTTTTTTCTTTCAGTTTTTCACCAATTTAGGATCCAAATCTGAATCTTAAAACCTTTCGGAAAAAATTTCCATTGGGAGTGGGGACATAACCACGCCAAGCGAGGAACAAATATTCAATTTTTAGAATGTACTACTAGTTTATTATTATAATACTAATATTATTTAGTTACAGTTAATGGAAAAGAACCCATATTCTATGTTTTTCTCTTTCTTTCCTTTAAGAGTTTAATTTCATCATAGTCAACATTTTAGCATGTAGATATTTAAATTATTATCTCAATCATTTATTTAATTTTAAATTATTTTTACTTGAGGTAATTGAGTTGGACATTAAACACATAAACTCTTTTTTTTGTCAAATTTAGATTTTTATCGCCTTTAAATTACTACACAGTATACAGCAATTACTATATAACTTTATACTTTTCTTTTAAAATAACAAAAATTACGTAATAAGATTTGAATTTGAACCTATATTTGATTTTTTGAAACACGAATAACACGAGAAGAAAAAATAGTGCACTTGCTTTTGCATGAAGGGTTAGGGGGTGAAAGAAAACATGTATTTGACAGGAATAGACTGATTAGAAAAGACATGTCGAAGAGCAAGAACTGATGATAGTGCAGGGAGTACAAATCATGCTAACTTTGTACTTAAAAGAGAACCTTGTTTCTTACATTTAATGATTCCATCATCATCATTATTACTGCAATTAAGCAATCTTTCTTCTTTTAAATTTTAGTGATGAACGTTTTTTAATTTTATTTTTCACTATACTATCTGATTTCATTATACAGCGTGAAACCAGCAGGGAGGCAGCCACGATGCAAGGAGTGAGCTTTGATATGCGAACCAAAGGGTCAAGAGTTGTAGACCAGGTGAAGTGACATGCAATTACAGGTTTGACGAGGATTAATCCAATTTATTACCCCCACATAACTCACATTTAAAATTAAATTTCAATATACCAATCCCATCAAGATAAGTTTTATACTCCATGAGTCTTACAAATGCGTAATTCAGTTAACTATTTTATATTTTCTCTCTTTTCTTCATTTTTTATTATAAATAATTTTTGATTTTTCACATGTATTAAAAAATATAATAATTATAGTATTGAAAAGAGAAATTATGAATTTTTTTATAAAATTGTCCTTCATTAATCACATTAGAAAAACAAATTTATATAATTGAAATAAGAGGGAATAATAAATATTTAAAAATATCATAGAAAAAATAACATTAATAATTTATTGGTATTATAAAACGATTTATATTGTGGTACACAATATTTTCCTAAAACGACTTATAATAAATAATGGAGGTAGTACACATTATAAAAAAAATGAAAAAGAGAGAATGATATTATTACTAAAGTACTCTTATCATGTATTGGAAATAGTGAAAGTAATATTAATTAGGGGGTAAAATTAGAAAAAATGCATTGAAAATTGAAATGATTAATTCATTTTGAGACACTATTTTATTTCAAATGAGTCACTCATTGTGGGACGAAGAATAATTTACTGGAATTAGAAGCAGTTTGAGGCTTGCTTGAGTTGTTGGTTAAGCGAAAAGCTTAATAGATCTAAAAGAAAGGTTAGATGAATACACAAACTTGTGAATAATAATGATGAGATTCAATATTGTTGGTGACCAATTAAAAATGACTTGGATGTGAGAGATATGTTGATATAAAAGACTTGATGTGAGATTAAAAAAACTACCAATCATATTTATATAAAGATTTTGATTCACATCAGTTTCTCGATCATCTTTAGTCAACTTGATATGGATTGCAATAGGTGTATGCTTGTGTCTTACTGTTAGCTCTCATTTTCGACGCCAGCAAAATTAGAATTATCTTAAGTCAGAATGTTATTTGTAAAACATAAGAAGACTTCAACCCAACTTTGGTGAAGCCTGAGTCGAAGAGAGGTTGGGAAATTTTCTAAGAAAATGCTAAGTGTTAGAAAGACCTTCAACCAGCATCATGCCGGAATAAATGCGTGGTTGTTACCATTAAGGCTGAAGGGAGTTCCTAATATTTGAGTTTCAAATTGGTTGCGGGCGAACGTGGGAACGGTTGAAGTTGAGGAAAAAAGCGCTAAAAGACACGTTTTGAGCAATAACCGTCACTTTGTAGTTATTTGCTAGCATTATAAATAGGAGTTATTTTTATAGAATAAGGGTGTTCATTCGTCTTGTACAAGCCACTCCAAATCACTTAAAGTACCCGCGTTTAGAGAAACGAGTTAGCGAGAATGTATGTGATGCAACACCATCCCCTTTCATTAATGCAATTTACATATCTTTACCATTTGTATGTTGTCGTTTATTCTGCATTTTCCTTCACATGTTATTCTTTAACCTTCATCTTTTATATTTAACTGCCTGTTTTATGCCTTTCCTGAAACTTTATTTTCATCTACACTTTATGCTATTTAACTTTCTGCACTCTACCTTAACCTGCAATTTAACCTTCATCTTTTATATTTAACTGCCTGTTTTATGCCTTTCATGAAACTTTATTATTTTCAAAGCCTTTTTAATTCCTTTCGACAGTTACTTTCTTGCACTTTTACACTATTGTTTTACTTTCGACGGCGCACACATTTATATTACTGTCTTTTAGTTTCAAAGTCATTTACATTACTGTCTTTTATTTCAAAGTCATTTACATTACTGCCTTTAATTTCAAAGTCTTTTACGTTTTCCCTTTAACTTTCGACGCATTAAGAACTACGCTCGTTGTTTTACAACCTTATTAATTTCCAAGTTATTTCTACTTTACAAGTCTTTCATAGTCGAACGTGGAGTTCAAATTAGATTTTCTTTCAAACTTAGCACATGTCCTAGGATTTGTTTGGTCGATCCTGCAAGCTACTCAATTAGACCAAAGATTGATAGACTAGCGGTTGTTTACCAAATTTTACAGTAAACAAATTGGCACACTTGGTGGGACCCAGTGCTAAGTATCCCAAAGTTTACATTAATCATATTCATCTTTTGGCGCAATACTTTGTTGTATGTTATTGAGGAGTGGGAAGTTAGTCACAGTACACGAAGGAGGACCAAAGGGAAGATATACTAAGAGAATGGCAACAAATGCTAGTAAACAAGTTGATCCTCAAGGAAGTGTTTCAAATACTCAGTCAAGCAGCATGGGGTCGCAAAATGTACCATCTCCAGTGTCTTCGACGGGAGGACAAACGTCACCGTCAGCAGTTGCGTCTGAACCTATGTCGTCTATGGCAAGCTCAGGGTCAACGTGTGTAAGAACGTACACTCAACCGGTGTTGGAATATATAGGACCACAAATTCCTAACTCACCAACACCCCCAGGAGGAAGTTCACTGCATAGGCATTTTCCTCCTCCAGGTTTCTCACAGCCTTTGCCAAGGAATTTACCTTATAGTATGCCTACGTCGATGATGCAAAATCTGCAAAGCGCTCCACCTATATTTTTAGAAAATATAGTGTCTTCGCCAGTGCAAGGATCTGGATCAGGTGGTTGAAACCACCAAAGCATAGGTGTTGGTTACTCTGTGCAAGCACCCGGTCTTACAAATACTTCCATAAACTGTTTGAGACAACAAATGGATGAAAGTAATATGAAAATTGTACATACATTATCTCAGACAATGGGAGAAGTTTTTCAACTGTTGATTCAGAATACTAGTCAAACTAACCAACAATTGGCAACACAATTAGCACATATGGCTGATTTTATGGGAGTACCAACATTTGATCAGAGAGCAACGGTTGTTGAAAATATTCCACGATATCAGCCGCAAAATATACCTGAGGTGAACATGGAGGATCAAGAGATGGGCGAACCTTTCAGAGTCGAACCACAAAGGAACCAGGTACCAATCCATATGGAGGAAGAACCAGGAATAGTCATGGTGAGCAGAAATCAAAATGCTGACCAAATCCTTAGACGAGTTCGACACCAGGATGCAGCAGAAGAAAATAATCTTGCAGCCATGGTCGAAAGAATAATGACTAGAAATGGCGTAAACTTTGGCTTCACAAGGCCAAATTATACTTCGCCCATAGTGGATTATATTCTTCAGTCTGAGTTACCCCCTAGGATGAAGGTTCCAAAGTTCAGTAAGTTTGCAGGAGATACTACTGAATCGACCTTTGAACACGTGGCTAGCTATATGATTGAAGCAGGAGAGATAGCAGGTGATGAAAGCCTTAGGATCAAATATTTCCCGAATTCTCTCACAAAAAATGCTTTTACGTGGTTTACCACGTTGCCTCCAAATTCAGTCCATAATTGGGCCCAATTAGAACGTTTGTTTCACGAACAGTTCTACATGGGACAAACTAAGATTAGCCTAAAAGAACTGGCTAGTATCAAA